CCAACAAAATGCTGTTAGGGTAAAAACGGCTAAAAGTTGGAATATTGATAAAAGTGTTGGTTTGATGTCCTTCCCCACTCATTTCCACCTTCCATCGAGGACCTATTTGGCATACCACTTTAGGAAAACATCAAACTTCAGGAAGTCGGCATCTTTGAAAAGATTTGGGTTGTTTCATAACTCGATAATTTAAGTTTTGACTTTCTCGAGACACTTAGACAAGGATCACCATTTCAAAGCCTATAAGAATTACTCGGATTTATACTTAGGTGAGAGAACTTAACGATGACCGCAACACCTTATTTCCAATTTATATTCGACATTGGTGCGTTCAAGACTTTGGAATTTTTACAAGCAACAGTTGTTGTCACCATATTTACCAAAATCTTCCCTTAGTGGAAAAAATTCGACATAAAAAATTCTACAAAAAAAAATAAACAACAAAAAAAAAAAAAAAAAAAAAATATATAAAAAACAAAATAAATACAAAACCGACAACAAAAATCAGCATTATACATTCGCAATAGTCTTAGTTCATTTCCCCGCGACTTTTCACACCAGTCGCGAAGCTATTCCCTTACCTCTACCTGCCAAAACCAGTCTCTTTCTGTCTCTGTCGTTTTCCACATATACAATGCAAAACAAAGAGATATTAATATAAAGCGGTCTGAGAACGTCCTTCGATATTTTTAAACACTCGACCAATACTGCAATAAACCGGAGAGAAACTTTTCGGATCTTATGTTTATTTCTTTATTAGGACATATTCAAGGCACCAAATTTGAGTTTTGCCCAAGAGATTTTCGAAACAATTCCAATCATTATGCCCCCAAAATCAAGGTTTGAGATCGTACCGGGTATCGTATCCGTACCGTTACCTTACGACGTATCGTTAGGGTTATTGTGAATGCCAGTGGAACATCGTCGAAAAAACTAACGTATGGTCAAGGCCCTAAAACAGAATAGTTTCAGTCCTGGTAAACTTACAGTAACTGTTCAGAATAAATTTTCTGGAGCGTTTCTAACTTCCGTAAACATTTTTAATTCAAGATGAAAAACATTTAAATGATAGATTCTTAAAAGTTATTGTATTTACTACAGATTTAACTGTATTCATTCAGTGTGCAAATTAATTTAATATTTATTATAACTGCAAATGTGTATCTATAACATAGAAAAGGATAAAGCCGATTGGCCGTAAAAAATAATAATAAATAATTATTTTCTCAACTTTGTAATAATTAGATAATAAAAGCTTAATCTTTTTAAGTTTAAATAAAGCATTAATTTTTAAGAAAAATTTTTAAAGATAATACAATTATTTATCGCCTAAAAAATAAACATTATTGAACTTTTTTCAAGATGCCTTGGCTGCGATGGCGCCGGTTTGGAGACATTGTGATGAACGATTTTTCCGGTGAATTAAAAGCACTCGAGCCCAGCAACCAACCTTCCGGCAGGTGCCATCACCTCCTGTATGCTCAGGTGGAATGACATGGGGACTTCACCATGAGCCTAGGGCATGCTGTGGGAACAGACAATCCCACCTCCTTGGAGCCCCTGGATTTGGGAACCAGCCAGCTCCATGGGGCTCCATGCCCGCCAGAGTTCACCAAAGATGTAGTTGCGTCGCTCAAGAGGCGGGTGCGCACAGTGTACACCGGATCAGGGAACCACCTGAGCCACCAGTCAGTCATCTGACCATTTCATCGGTCAGCCATGGTCCCTGCGTTCAAAGACTTTCCCCGGGCTAAATATTTGTCCCAGACTAGGTGAGGCAGGGCAGTTTCATAGACCTAGTTTGAAGGAAGCAGATGGATTGGAAGGTATGTGTAGCGGGAATTTTTTGTTGCTTAGTTTTCTTTCTTTTAAGAAAAATGTTCTCATTAATACTTGTTCCTCTCAAATTGAAAACTTGAGAGATCGTTATAAGATAAGTCCTTACTTTTTAATTACCTTTTAGAGTCAGGAAGTTTTCCTTCTAAATAATGAATGTAAAGGAAGAACAACTTAATTAAATCTAAATATTATTTTTTTTTTGTTTTAATTTGTGACATATGTGTGGAATGTTTTAATGTGGAATGAATTGAGATTTCTCTGTATGGTAAGTTTTGTTTGTGGGATAAAACAGGCCCTCCGTTTCAGTTTGACACAGTAAATATGCGTTTCCTCTGGAGGAGGTTGGTTGGTGGTTGGTGGTGTAGGGGTGTAAGTGGCCGTGGGCCCACATGCACCTTCTTGTTTGCAGCACAAACACACATCAAGCCCACAGCAGCCAACGCAACAGCAACAGCTAACAGGCAAGACGCAACAGCAGCAGCAGCAAGCCAAGCAAAAAACAACAACAAACAACCAACAACAACAAACCCATCAGCCAGCAGTCTCCACCCCTCAGCAATACAAGCCTTCCATCTCTTGGCCCAATGCATAGTGCTCGAGGGCGCACTGTTATGCCAATCTGAACCCCTTAACACAGCCCTTACTCCGAACAATTCTCGGGCAAATGGAGAGCTCACCCTCTTCAGGACACCAATGTTGTTGGAGTAACTTGCTCAGATTTCATGCGCATATATGAAATACATTGATGCGTGTGCCTCGAGAAATACAGATTTTATGGCTGAAACAGCCATGTGGATTGCATATCCTTTGGGGATGAGTCCAAAGAGAAATTCGGCTTCGCCATTCCGGTGGTACGCCGTGTATTCACCTTATGATGCGTGGGAAACCATTTGTGTGTTTCATGTTAGTGGAACATATAGGAGAGTTCCGGTTGTGGAATGTTGTCACAACCAAGGTAAATATCACTCTTGCTTTTTTTCCGTTAATATTAAATATATGAGTACTTGCTTTCAGGACCAGTTCAGTTTAATTTTATTTACACATCAATCTAAAATTGGCAATCAGTATTTGCATACAAGAAGTTTACACCATAATATAGGAGTAGCGAGTTCTCCATCATTTTATCAAGAATACTTGTCGATTATCAACACTCATATTTCGTTGACTATTTTAAAATCATACATAATTGGTCTTTCTTTGTCTTTGCTAAATGTGGTCTTAATTCTTGAGAATTCAAATATTTTCTTTGGAAAGGGAATTCATTTCTCAAGAGTCCTCTTTGGTATAAATATATTTCGTAAGTATTGGATCTGTCTTTGGATAAGATTTCAAGGTGTTATCCTCAGATGGCTACATAATTTCTGTTCAACATTCAATATGTAAACTTAGAAGTGAATTAATAGTCTCTATAAATGTCTTCTTGTTTCCTTCTTTGGTTAGCTGGGGAGTAAAAAATTTAGCATTATCAAAATATGTTTACATGTGGTTTTGAATGTGGACTTGATGTATTTGTGAGTGCTGTTTGTGGTGATCTTTTCTTTTTTCCAAGCCGGACCAGTGAACTTGAAAGTTCTTGCAAACTGAGAATTTGAAGAATCTGCTGAAAAATGGGAATTGTCATTCAAAAAAACTCTTTTTTTCTTATCTTTAAAGATATTATTGGCCCATCTATCTTCACAATTCACACGGTCATTGTTTATTCAGAAGTGCAATCATTTCACTAGATAACATTAATATAATTGACTTGGATTATAATGCAATTATAATCTTTCACAGTTTCAAATATGCATATACAAATTTGAAAACACTATCCACTTTATGTTTTTTTTATTTTTTTTTTCTTTTCCCTTCTTCCTTCTTTCTTCCTTCTTCGTTCAATAATTGAGGAACCATTGTCGAATATATCACTCAGCGGTCTCTCATGGCAGTCTTCAACCAATTTTTATAGTGAATGTATGAATGAAAACCAATATCTGCCATCTGGATTAAGGTGGTGTTATTTTAAGTTTGCTGCTCCAAATCAAATTGATGGTTAGTGGTAGTGTTCTTCATCCTTATCAAATTTGCACTCGCAGATAGTACTTGCATGATAATGTTGTGATTTCATTATGTATGATAATAAACGGACATTTAAAAAAAAAAATCAAAGTGTTAATTTTAACTTGCTTCTTCAAGTACACTGTCACATGGATGCACAGATGAAATATTTGCAGGACAAGTACCTCGCTGAGAACTCAATTGCTGAGTTTTGGCAAGTGTCACGCCCATTTTTTGATGACATCATCATTATGAGTTTGCTGTTTTGCCAATCGAAATATTAGAATAGTTACTACTCCATAATCTATGATACTCTGAGAGAATATCACATTATCTCTGAAGAATACAGGCCGAGGAATCTTTGCCTAGACCCAGAAATTAAGAGTGACACTGCACACATTGGCAGGGACCACCAAGAAAGTTCATAGGCAGAGTTAAATGCAGCTTCATCATGCCAGGAAATATACCTTATTCTCAGATCCACATTTTGGAACTAGTGGCCCAACTTTGAAAGATTTTGGGCTCATCATTCAAATTCCAGTTAGAGAGTAGTATTCAGTCTTCAAATGTCTCTAAACCTGATACAGTTGAGATACTTACAAAAGTAATGTCTAACATATAAATTAAACAAAGTGGGACTAAATATCTGCTTAAGGACATAATTATTTTGTGGTGGATGGTGATCCAAAGATTAGTATTAGTGTTGAATGCACTTCGTGTAAAAGGATAATTGATATAATTTCAATGCCAAAGAGCATAAAAATTAGAGTTGAGCTGTAGACTTTTAATTTTATGTATACTCGTATTTTCTACACGACTATTATTTCATGTAGTCTATATTCACAATGGAATCTGTGTAGACTATTTAATATTTCACATAAGATAATTAAAAATATGTTGATATTGATGTTGAAGTATGAGTAGTACCAATAGCAGCACATTTATATTTCAAATTGTATTTTTGATTCAGTGGGATAAATGAAGTATATACGAATATTAGACATTTTATCTGCAAAACCCAAACACGCCCTCTCGTATAAACACAATTGTGCACATTCCCTTACAAAAACACATGTGCACGAATAGTGGGGAGAGATTTGGCTCAAGATGATTATTCGTTTCAGGTCAGATCATACTTATATCAAGGTATGCCTATTAAAATGTACATTTTTGGGTCATCAAGAAAGCAGCTGAAAATTGCAGTAATATTATGAAATGTTCAAATGTACAATGTTATCTTTCTTATTTTCTTTTCTTTTGTACCTCACTGCTGTTTCTTATCTCTTTTTTACATCATTTTTCATTTTATATTATCTCCAAACTAACTTTCTATCTGTCACTGATATAAATTTTTTTATTCATACAAGCTTGAACAGATTGGTGTTAATAGCATTTTTTTATTTCCAGTATTCTATTGTATTGAGACTAGATATTAACGATCTTATCAGCAAATGGTTTTACAAATAACATGTGTAAAATCCTATCAACACTTTTTTTCATTTTGTGAACTGCTTAGTGTAAAACACATTTGGGTACTCATGTTACATCCTTATTTTCCAGTATTAGGTTAGGTGCTCCAACACGAGAACTGTATGTAGATGGAAAGTGGTATGAATGTTTTTTTGGAGGGCCTCCAGTCTCTATTGAAATGGGAGGTAAAATCAGACTAGTGAAACTAGAAGGACCTCCACCACAAGTCAAGATTGGTATGATAAAAAGAACAGATTTAGTTGCTGGAAAAATTAATCTCATAATTAATGCCCGCAATATGGTTCCTATTTTTTTGGATGCTAAACCTCAAAGGTGAGTTCCAAAAAATTCTAATCTTAACTTTAAGGAGACAAGAGATCATTGATATTTTTTAAACTAAACTTTGAGTCTATTTTACATTTGGCTCAACTAACCGAATAAGGTAAAACCCACTATAATGATCCAGCCTTTAAAAATATACAAGTTCTTAGGTAATTTTCCTTACGCGGGTAACAACAGAAAGAATGCAGTTGTGTGTTTTGAGTAATGAGGTAGTGAATAACCTTATTACTTAGTATTTTTTTTAAATGAACTAATATAAGGGCGTTCATCTTATTTCTGGGACTTTTGAGTAAACTATTAGACTTCTTAAGTCCCCTGCAAGACCAAGCATCCCATGTTAGGACTCAGAATTTTCATGTTGGTGAGCTGAAGGCTCTTGCAGAGTATCAAAGATGAGTACATTGCCATATTTTACATTTTAACGACAGTAAAAGTATGGTGTATATTGCAGCTGCAGAAAATGACCCAGGAGGCGGTAAAGAATATATTCTATTTTACAAATGTGCAAAATACATCATAAACAATAATTGTTGTGGTTGTATATTGTTCTGGAAAGCATCAAATTTTGCAGAAATATTTATATTTAAATAATTTGATCGCATACATTATTACGCGTTCCATACTTGTACTGTCGTTGGTCATCGGGGATCCTATTCTGAAAAAGAATTCATAAAATTTTTGACCAACTATAGCACTGTAGCTAAACAAACTTTATTTTATACTGTTACCAGCTTTACGTCATAGTTTTCCAATGAAAATTATGCAAATTCATTTTCTAAATACGAGCTTCGAATCGGTCACTCAACTGATTAATAAATGTGTAAATATGCATACCAACACAATTCTTTATTTCTTTGAAATAATTATCTTACATGTTGTAATTGGAGTAATAATAAGGAATAAACTTAATTAAATGTATGGTTGATTTGGTTTTGTTGATATGTTACGATTTGTAACTGTTTCAAAATCTATTTTTTAAACAGAAACCCTTTATTGAGGGTTGGCAAGTGACCTCATTTGGGACTGCTGACTTCAAGGGCCCAGATGCAATGCACTGATTGCACTAGCCTAGCTATGCCCTTGAATAATTAATTAAAGATGTCCTTTTCTTTATAAGCACTTTTTTCATTATTTCCAAATTATCCACCTGTGTAGTGCGCTTGTGTCTTTACCATATGTTTACTGCAATTTTGCTATGTAGAGGATAAACCCTAGGTTTTTAACTCTTCTCCTTCCTTCACCCTTTTGTTTATTGATATTTATGGTCATGGAAATATTTTTCCCTTTTTGAAATAGACACACAGTCTTTCTTTCTTGAGTTGCCCAAAATTAAGCTGCCAAATGTTTGTTCAGTGTTTCTTGCCATTCTTGCTGATTAAAAATGTAGTGCAAGCATCTATTAAATTTGTTGGATGCCTGTCTGTTCAAATTATTTGTAATTGTACCCTAATTTTCATAATTCAAAATTGCTTTGCATGAAATTATTTATTAATTTAATATTATTAACTTTACAAAATTTGTTTCTTGTTCTTACTACGAAGTTTTGACAACGTACAGGGTAACCATGAAGTTCATTGACATAATTTTCCACAACTATAAGAAGGCACCCGGTGATGAAGCCAGTATCATACCTAGGCTGCTAGTCATGAAATATTCTAAATACTCATTGAATAGACATGCCAGAGCTATTGTGAATGTAGAAATTAATGATAGTGAATGGAATGTTCTCTTATTTTGTCATTACTTAATGTTCTGTGATGACCACTGACTCGTCCACGAGTATGTAAATTGGAAGCTGTTCAACAGTTACGACTGACTTTTGTGAAAATATTTTGTATTGTTTTATTTGTAGGTTTGATATTGAAGGAAAGGCTCATATTTTACGATTCACTCATGCTCTAACAAATGTGCAAATAAATGGTAGATCTTTCAAAGTGGAATTTGGTGGTCTGCCTAAACCTATTGTGGTAAATGGCAAGAAGCATTTCATTCGATTCTCAGTACTTCCAAGAGGCATTCAACCTGGTTACATCAATATTGTTAATATGGAAGGCGAAAGATTGCCATCCCCTGCACATGCAGATGGGGATGGACAAGACACAACATTTTCTCCCCCAGATGAAAATGATGAAGCCAAACTTCGGAAAGTAAATGAACCAGCTCTTCCTATGCTTGGTAAGTCTAAAAGAGTTAACGTTCAATTAAATTTCATTGGTGAATTAATGTCATTTGGATTGGGAATCTGGTTGGTTTTGAAGATCAATTCTTGAATAATCTTGTTGACACTGAAGGTCGGGCAAGGCAGAGAAGGTTTGGGACTGGTCAAGATTCTCCAAGTGATTCGGAACCAGCAAGAAGTTCTCCAGCTACTGTACAATCTGATAGTTCAGCTCAAAAACTCGGTCAATCAGGTAAGTAAGCAAGAGACGTGCATTTTTTATGTGCATTTTGTGTATATAATTACCGTTATTACTCAAGGCAACAACAGTTGAACAAGTAATGCTCCAGAAATATTTTTTCTTGTACATTAAAGGAGGGTGTGAAAAGAAGTTGCTGTAAGTAAATGAAGTATATTGACATGTCAATTCTGTTGATCTGATGTTGTAGTTTGAGGGGAAAACTTTAAATTAATATGGATTCTTTGTATGAGAAGGTCAAACTGAGGATGATAAAGCTTTCAACTGCAAACAATTGTGACATGCTAAATGCATTTAAGTGGAAATAAAAATTAGTACAGGCATTATTCAGCGTTTGTTGAACTTGCTTGTCCAAAGCATATGTATCATATTAAAACAAAAATTATTTTAATAATTCTTTGGTGGAACTGAGCTGAGAAGCCGGAGATTAATCTACTAGGTGAACCAGCACAAACAGGCCCAAGATCATACCTAAATGCCTGCAGTACATGATGATATCAATGGCATGTGGTGTCTTCCTTCAAGCCTTTCTATTTCATGACATCACCTGTGTTGTAAGCAGTGATGCAATGAGTATGAGAAGACAGTCAGTATGTGCAATGTGTTTAAAGACAGAATATCTCAACCAAATATTTCCATTTTTCAGTCAAAATCAATTAAGTTTTCTTTCAGTTTCTGCATGAATTGGAAATCAGTCACGTAGATAACAAGATTAACAATAAAATAGTGAAAAAATATTACTAGGTTGTAATATTAGTTTATAATATTTTACTTCCCATTTATTTGTTAAATGTACTCCCCTCAGCCCAACATAATAGTAAATGAGACTACAGTATCATAAAAAATATTACTGCATCAACTAGAAAACTTCTAGAGAATGTTGTTTTAAAAGATACTGATAGAAAAGTGAACAATCTGGCAACAGTGGCCATACTCTTCAACCAATACTTTTTTGAGAACTGCAGCTGATGTCACAAAGGACCTTAAGCCACAAAATTCACCATCAGACGTTTCCAAGAAATATGTTTTGACACAATGTTTGTTTCTGAAACTTCTTCCTATGTAATTCTCAAAATAATCTCTAAAATAAAAAATAAATGGTAGGCTTTCATGGTAGGACATGCGAATGAAATTGTTATTTTGTAAATAGCAAATAGAGTTTTTATGTAATACTACTTCTAACAATTTATTATTATACTTATCATTCCAGAGATTAGTGCCTTTGTAAATATGTTGTGATTTTGACGTATTTTGTGTTATATCTTTATTGTGATATTTTTTGACACAACATACAGGCATTTCACATCTCTATGGCATTTTGATCTCTTTCATAGTGGATAGAATTATTACAAGAAAGCAGATCAGGTGTCAATGTTTGATGATACTGTTTCCTTTTCAACCTTAGAAAAATTCAGATGCAGTCTTTTCTTGCCATGAGACCAATGAGAAAGACTTTGACAAACTTACAGACAGAATATTATATTAATAATTATACTTCAAGAAATGAAAAAGCATCCATTCAATGAAATAGTTTTTATTCACCAATATTTTCATTGGTGTATTGTAGATGTAACTAACATTTAGGTTAGTCAAGAATGTTTACAATGACATATAGGTGATAGAAATGTATAGTTATTGGGTAACTTTTCAATTTTGAGATTTTTTGGAATTTTGTGATTTTTTTTTTCCTCGTGAATGTTTTGTGAATTTACAATGACTCACTATAACAAAGTTTTTTTTTTTATTTTTTCATCAGTTCTTGACAAAATTCACAACTGCAGTGAGCTCGATCACATTAATATTGTTTGCAGAGTTTATTGAACTCTGGAAATTACACAGATATTTACTCTCTTACCCTTCCAAAATGAAAAACTTATATTACACATAATTTTATATAAATAAATTTTATTAAAATAGTAAAATTCGTTGAATATGTAAATATTTTTATATAAATTATTGAGGATTTTTTAAAAAATTAGGTAATTTTCCCCTTATATTCAAATTGTTTTAGGTTATTAGAATTCAAGCCCTGGTTATATGCAATCTTTCTAAAAGTCATCCAATCCTTTTCATATAATTGGAAGAATAAACAATTCATGATTTCGACATTTTATGAAGAGCAAGTTGAATTGACAAATTGCCTCCATGAAACAGTGGAATTACTTTCCAACAAAACTCAAGTGAACTGCTATTTTCTTTTGTTGTAGAGAGATGCCCTTGCATTGTGTTTGTTTATGTATGTGTTATTAGATAAACCTACCAAATTCAAGCAATGTCTTAATTACAGGAAGTTTTTTATTGTAAAGCAATTTAGTACAGACAATGTATTTTGTATAAGCTTTTCCACACACAGTTGTGTAGCATTCATTATCTTTATTTTTGCAGTTACCTCACAGCTTCCATTGGAGATGTTAACTAGTTTAATGCCAGTAGCTATGGCACCTTCCTCAGGATACAGTTATCAAGTAGAACAAGAGTCACAGGATACTCAACAAAGGTCTTCATCTGAAGCTTCAACCATTCCAGTATCAAGTGTCCCTCTAGGTATGCCTGTAATGTTTCTTACTAAAGACCGGATTTTTTTAAAGACCAGAAATTTGAATTGTGAAACAAACATTATTCTAGTACTGGTTTTATTTTGCACAAAATTGTACATTTAGGAGGTTACTGCACAATATTGCATGTTTTAGGTTGTATATGTATGTATGTATGTATGTATGTTCAGAGTCCTTAGCTTAACTTGCAAACCAGTCTCAAAGCACTTGTTCGTGTTTTCGCAATTTGGCAACTGCATGTTTTGACACCTTTTAAGACAGCTGTGCCTTGCGTGACGAGATAGCAGAGGAGGCAATTATCAGATCATAAGCTGCAGAAACTTTCCTGTTTGTATTTTCTCATTTAAGAGCCTAGGTGGCCAGGAACACTGTTTACACACCAGGAACTTTCCCGCAGAGTGGGTGGGGTATAAGGAGGAGTGAGCAGAGACATAAACAAAACGTCTTTTTAAGTGATTCTGTTCCTTATGCTTATAAAACAAAACTGTGGTAAAGATGCAGTGGGAAGTTATGACTGTCAATTTATTAACACCAACGTAACAATTATTATTATTTAAAGAAAGTCTGCTCAGAGATATATCTCGGGGAAACATTACCATGTATTATTATTATTATTATTATTATTATTATTATTATTAGTGAATCTGATTATTAAGCAAATAAGAAAGCCTCAATAAATTTATTAAAAATGTCAATAAAACATAAATCAGTAGTAAATTAATAATTATTGAAAATAATTAATAAAAAATAATAAAATATTTCCTTTAAAAGACAAACAAACTGACCGTTGAGTAAATGCTTAGTGAGCATCATTTGCCAGAGACAGGTGTTAACTCTTTTCAGTGTAGTGACTGCAATAGGTTGCAGACAAACAAGGAAAGGTTTTCTCTTTTTCCAACTAAAATTAGCCACATTCTCTCACTCTGAAATCTGAGGGCATGCAGATGTGATTCACTAAACGTGAAAGGATGCCAAAGATATTTCGTGCATCGCCAGATTGCCAAAACGAGAGGTGGTATTTCCAGACATGGGTTGCGAGTGAATCTTAAGGCCCTGTATGTAATGCTGTCTGAAAATAGCACATATTCGAATTTTCCTGGACGAATTTGTAAGATTTATAGTTTTATTGCATAAAATATAATTTCGATATTATCCACTTGATTTAATTTATCTTCTTTAAAGGTTTCATTCAAGAAAAAAGTTTTTATGACGTAGCCCTGTGAGTGCTGTTTAATATCAATTCTGAATTTTGTTGTCATGAACTGAGCATCTATACGTTTCATGATGCCTGTTTTCTTAAAGTTTCTGAGATATTGCAGCAATGATAGGTCCACAGACTTTGGTTGCTGCCACTCAGCAAACGCTACGTTCAGGATCTATCTTCCCAATCGAATCACGTATCCATTTTGTTTGTCTTCGCTGAATTTACCAACACAAGACCTTACGCATGTGTCACTTTTGACCTTACATCTGGGCGCGAAGCTAAGCAACAAACTGCACTGTTTCATATTCATCAAATTTCTCAGAACAGGCATAGTTCTGCAATGTACAAAAGATAATGAACTCAGTTTTTAGCACTTTTAGCAGCGTGAACATAATGTCAGAGTGAGGCTCGGCACACAGACAAGTAAAAATTGTTTTCTCAGAAGCATGTATTAGTTGATAGAAGATAAAATCATTTCTCAGAAAATTATTTGGAAATATACATAATTGTAAATTATAATTAAAACAATTAAGAACCTTCCTTCTGCAACGTAATTATTTTTTATTTCTAAAGATATATTTGTACTTTTCTATTCTTGTATTTACTTTTTTGTGCGAATAATATTTAAAATATCAAATAAGGTTTATTTAAACAATATTTGATTCTAATGAAACAAACAGAATTATACTAAAATAACATATTTCATTCACTTTAAATATCACATTTTAAATATAAGATTTAGTTAATAATTGGATTAACTGGAGATATTAGTCTACATTACACCGTTTTGCAAAGTCTTTTTTAATTTTTTTTTTTTTTTTTTTTTTTTTTTATATTTTTTTTATTTTAAGAATTCTATAAGAAACATGTAAATATTTCTCCTTTTTAATAGCCACCTGACTAAGCAGCCAGGCACAATTCATATTTTCATCTTTTTTAAGCAGTCACCTAAAGCGACTTTGAACTGTATTAGCTGTATTACAATAAAAGGCCAACAAGTGGTGCAGATTGTTATTGATTTAATATCTTTCTACAACAAGATGTATTGCCAGATTACTTTGAATAGTTACATCTAGAATTATCTTGCAGGGTTATTGATGTTAATAAGTTATAATTGTTATATAGAAGTTAATAAGTATCTTGTTACAAAACAATGCATTTGCTTCTGTCATTTTACAGCATTCCTATTGTTTGCTAACTTGTGCTTCCCTTCTGTGGGTATCTCCCAGAGAGCATAGGGCATATGTGAATCTAATCTGAAAGCCATTTGCTAACTCAATCATCAGATTGCCTTGTTGTAAATTTTTTATGTATTGAATCTTCAAGTTTAGTTTGCTTAGCAGAAAGCAAGTCTCTTGAGAGTGGGTGACAAGTGAAGTGTGTTTTATTATTAGCCAAAGGGAGAAAAATTATCCTCAATACTTTGTTTAAATTGTATTTTGTCATTTATGGTAATAAAAAAGTTAGGGAGAAAATATTTCATTTTATAGCAATTGACACAATTAAAAATGATTTATCCTTCCAGTAACCTCATAACCTCCATTAAGTGTCCACCTCTATTAAGGGCCAAGTTTTACTGGAACTGTTGGTGATTGTTTGAGACAGTTTTCTCTGTGTTATAATGCTTCAAAATTTCATTGAGCAGTATTGTAAGACTAAAGTTTTGGCTTAATTTACCCAGCATAAAAGTTATGAGATACAGTGTTATGATGGGTTAATATACTTTGAATGATATATTTTCGACGTTTCTACTGCATTAATGCATTCATACTTCACAGATTATCAGATCGTATAAATCCAAACCCTAATGATCAAGTATGTGTATGCAAGCAGGTGTGAATATATTTTACGCATAGAGTTACCTAGTCCACAGAAAATTTTACCTTCTCTCTATAAATACCATGCTTCTCTTTAACAGTCAGCATTTGTCTGTTATCATCTCATGTTATTTACTTCGATCTATTAGTCTCTCACATCTTGAAGGAAACTGATCTCCATAGCCATGTAATAAATCTCGAAAGTTATTGGGGAAAATCAACATTATTCTGAAGAAAAAGCAGCTCCTTGCTCATTACACCCCGAACGTTTTTTAGACGTTGGATTGTATTCTACTGTGGTCTTAAAATTTGACTGTTACTTGCTTCTTTGAACTTTTCTGATTAAAAAAGTGATTCAGTTATACAGGAAGTTGTATAAATAATCTTAACAATGCATTATTATTTCAGCAACAACTGCAGCAGCAGCAGCAACAACTGCAACAGCAAGTTCCACTTCTACTGCAAAAGGTGGCCAAGATGGTACCATGCCCCTTGCAGCAGTGGTTGCTCCAAATACCAGTCCAGTAGTGATTGCTGCTGGTATACCTTTCTTACTTCCTGAAATCAATGTTGATGAGCTATTCCAGAAATTAGTTGCCACTGGTATTGTTGCACCTTCCGTGGCAGCAGAGGAATCAAAGAAGAAAAAAGATGACGATGCTGATACTGTTAAATTTGTAGACTTCAGTCAGCCAGAGACTCTTAAAGTGTGAGTTTTTGTGATTATTATTATTATTATTATTATTTAGTAATTTTAATTTTTGTAGTACAATTAATCATCAATGTCTACTGGTAATATCATATCAAATGTACAGAAAACTGTGAAAAGCTTATGATTTTTGTTGAAGGATTTTTATCTTGCAATTTGGTTTCCTTGGTTTCATGCAAATGGCATTTACACTAATGTAAGAAACAGTTTGTTTCTAAACATCTCATTCAAAAAAAAAGAGGGTCTTATATTTGCAGTTAAGCCTTCTTGCCAGTTGGAGTCAATATTTTAACATTGTCTCTTCATGACAAGCACTCAAATGTGAGCAAAATTTATTGCAAAGTCATCTTTAATGGTTAATTGAATTTGCAGATGTAAATTTGGCATACCTATGAGTTTGCTGGGCGATTCAAACCCCTTTGGCAAAGAGAGAACAAATCAAATGAATCATGAGTGAAAATGAATAATAATTGGTGCTAAGATTTTGTTAAACGAGTCACTGATCTAGGACGCACTGTGAACTCTCAATTCAGTGAATGACACTCTTATGGTTCTATCGCTGCACATTAAACCTCCGATATACAATAATTTCAACAAAATGTTTTTTTGCCAGAAATTTTCAATGTTTATTAAAGAAGCTTATATCATGAAAATGTGTGCAATAGGAAGAAAATTTGGTGACACTGAAGAGAATATTCTTAAGTAGCATTAAATAAAACACAAAGAATGCAAATTCAATGCGCACAACTTTCGTTAGAGAGCCTAAAAAGTCACGAGGATAGAATGGGAGGAGGATGAGAAAGCATAAAACAATCATACTAATGAAGATGGTAATGGCAAAAACCATGATGACTTCAAGAAGCTTTGGCAAATCGATTTAATGTTTACATCAGGCCATTTTTCTAATCAGTTAGACAATTTGTAGTTATTTTTATTGGTTAGCAAGAATTTAAAAAAATCTCAGAAGGGCTCTTCAAAATTAGGGGTTCGTCTAACAATTAGAGTAGTTTTACAGTGGGGGCAAAATTATTACTCTCAGTATTTTTAATTAATTTTAAATTTTGTCATAAATGGATAATCTTATGTAAAAAATTAAAAAGTCAATTTTATTAAATTTTGAAGCAGTTGTAGTGTGCGGGGATCAAAGGTCAGTGTTCTACGTGGGCAACAGGAAGCGCACAACTGCCACAGCCCGGCGAATCCCGCCGTGACGTGCGGGAAAGCGATCAGTTTCTTTAGCTGCCTTTGACCTTCCCTCGAAGCTAGCCATCGCCTCCTGAGATCTTCAAAGAGCTCCCGTATGCACCTGACTCAAATTTTCCACTGCCGGAGGTAGCCTGGGAGCCGACTTTACCCTACCACTCTGCGGGCTCGAGTGGTCTTGGACCCTCAGCTAGGCCAAGTTGAGCTAATGAACTTATAAGTGTGAAAAACGTACAAAAGTAAATCCCCTAACTGAAATAATTTAGCAGGGGAATTATACGATTTTATACATGACCTACCTCCAAAAGGTATAAACGTGAAAAATGTATAAATGGAGTTTCACTGTATTTACAGTGTTGGAAATAAATATTTTAATATTTTTTAAAATCCTATTTGGAGTTCATGATTGCTGTGATTTTCTTTAGAAATACTTACTTTTGATGATTGTGACTATCTGCCAAAATGTGCATAATCATAAAATCATTATTCTGGAACCATTCTTTCACCTGAAGAAGGAGAAAATCATTTTCCTGAATCACCGTGATGTCTTGATCCTGACGCTTGGTTCCTTGTTCAAAGTTGAGCTTTCATGTGCATTGATAGCTGATAACTGATCAAATCACTCTGTAAAGATGTTTTTCTTGTTCCAATATGCCATCATTGTCATTACATGTGTATCTAATAAAATGTCTTGTTCTGCACAATTGGATTGCTGCCCACCTAAGAAGCAAACCTACAAAATATTTTTAGGCTTTTTGTTCTTGTTTACTGTTTGTTTTTTAAACATTTTACAGACCTTGCTTCAGTCTCTGGCTCAATACTGTTTGACGTTAAATAATTAAATATACTCATTAAAAAGAAAATGTCATACAGTTTTCAATTGTAAACAAATAATTAAATAGTTGTATTAAATACTTTTGCCAAAATTAAACGTTTTTTCATAACTTCAGGTGCAAGGTTGTTTTCTCACAGAATGTTGATATTTGAAATCCATTTCTTTCTCCTCAAAGTTTCCTCTGATAAATGCACTCCAATTTCTTGAAAAGTTTTTGACAATTTTTTGTGGTTTCCAACATTTCTCCATGTATATACATATGTATATACAGATATGTAATGTTGTGGAAAATCGATTTCAACGGAAATACATTTTTGGGGTCCCCTGATACCAAAATTGTTTTTTCGGGTTGTTGTTTTTTGTTTTTGTTTTTTTTTCCATCAATTTGTCCCACTAGTCCCTAAACCATATGTATGATTGTTTCAAATATATCCTTAATAAGTTGTAAGAAGTACTAAAGAGAAACTAAGAAGTTCTATTGGCCAGGAAATTATCTTTTCAGTGGTAAATTGCTGGTGAATATGCTAGAAGAGGAATTATGTTAATAGCACTTTTTTGCAGCTTGTAACAAAAGAAAACATTAATTGCGTAAAATTTATGTTACCTGTAATTGCGTGACCAAAATCAACAAATTCTGAAATATTGTCCCCTTCATTTGTTTCCAAACATAAATGCAGTTTTTAATAGAAGGCCCTGATTGAGCTCCGTCCAGAGAGACTTTCCTGGTATACTGTGCAACAAATATTGTTAGGATCTGAAACTGTGAAATGCTAAAATTATTGTTGTCCATTCTAAAGGTGTTTATTAATTAGCATAATTAATAAAAATTATTTTTTTAGGAGACAACCTGCGCTAATTGCTGCATTGTATTCAGGAATTCAGTGTAGTTCCTGCGGTGTACGCTTTGCTCCTGAACAAACCATGAAATATAGTCAGCATTTAGATTGGCATTTTAGACAGAATCGTCGGGACAGAGATAACACCAGAAAAGCACAGAGCCGAAAGTGGTATTATGACATTTCTGATTGGATACAATTTGAAGAAATTGAAGATTTGGAAGAAAGAGGTGAGTAGTAATAATACAAACTTTTATCTAATCGCTAGATTTTAACGCTGGGATTTCATCCGCTTTTTTTTTCTGCTTAGGAAAATAACCTTTTCAATACTTTTATTGAATACTTGATTATCCAAGCCATTGTTTTAATTATACAATGGGAGGTCCTTCTAATTATGTCAAAGGAGATGTAGTCAACACCAGCAGATTTCTTGCTATTAATTTTGTTTATTGTTTTTAAAATCTCTTGTTCATTTGTGGGTTTGATAAATATAGATTCTGGTATTGTGCAAACCAAATCCAGTTCAATTTTGTTTGAGAGAAACACAAATTTTTCCACAAACATCTTACAACTGCCATTAAGATTTTGTTCAATTTATTTGCCGTTTCTACTATTTTCCACAAAAACATCATACATGGTATCTGTTTTTCTCTCTATATCTCTATCTCAATTTTTTAATTATTATTTTTTTCCCTTAATTTTTTATTCTTTTTCTCCTTATGAATTCATTTTAAGAGAAAGTTATGTTATTGTGCGCCAGAAATCACCGAAAAATTGCTAAGAAAAAACCTTTGCCAGGTTCTAGTAACATAAAACGGGATAAATCCTGTTGCTAAATTTAGAAAATAAATCCTATAACACATTGTATAGCCGGAATGTATGTTTATTGATTCTTGATAACGAAAATCAATTGATAGTTAAACATCCGTCTGTGGTCAACACTAGCACCTAAACCGTTCTGCCAATTTTCTTCAAATTTCATGTTCCCCAATTGACCTGAATGAACTCGTGGGTTTGAGAGTTTCAAATGGATATTTTGATTTTTAAGTTACATGGAGCCACAAAAACATTTTCAAAATTTTCTCCAAAACAGCACCAAATTTTTTGAACAAATTTTGGTTTCTTATAGCATAAAGATCGCTTAAGAAAATGGTGGTAGTCGTGTTTGTTGAAATTACAGATTTTTGGAAAATTTAAAAAGTGCAAATTTTTGGGGAAGTCTTCCTACAACTTTAATGTTGAAAATAGAAATTTTTTCCTTAATAAAAGCTGTTCCTTCATCGATCTTTAAATAAGTTCAATTTCAATTTTTCAATATAAGAGTAGGTTCTGTATAATGCGTGAAATATAGGCAATATTTTCTCAGAAACTGCTCCAAATTTTTCTTTAAATTTGCTCCACGCGTATATTATAAGAGACAGTAAAAAATTTTATGCTTGTCCCATTTTTAGCTTTTGCTCCATTTTTTTCGAAAATGCTAAAAAGTAAACATTTGAAAACTACAAAATTGGAGAGAGCGATTTTTGCTTTAAACAAAGTCTGTTATACAAAGATCTTTAAGAAAGATTATTACATTGCACAGAGTTTCTCGTTCTAGGACTAGCCTTTTGGTAGGTCTTTTTCTCTTCACTGTTGTAACTTTGAAACTTGTTTGTTTGTTTTTTTCCGAAATTATTACTTTCTCACCTTCCAAATTCTTTGTAAGAAAAGAAAGTTATGTAATTGTATGCCAGAAAGCGCCGAATTTTCGCTAGAAAATTTTCTGTGAAACAGTTTCAGATTTCGAATTTACAGTAGCGCTTCAACACCTGTTTTTTAAAAAAGGTTCCAAATTTTTCAAAGAAAATTGCCATTTAGGATCTTGGCATTTACTGTTCTTCAAATCTTAAAATATTATTTTCGTTCTTCAATTATAAAACCGAAAAATTAAGAAAAGATCCAAAAAATGTACTTCAGGTGGTGATAGATGGCAGCGGCCAAGAAAATGTGGCAAGTTCAAATAGCTAACAAAGACCAAAGGAAATATAAAACAAATGCAAGAAAGTCTGTGCCATTCGGTAGCACCACTAGTTATATTTTTGTTATACCCTTTAAGGCAAAGGTAATTTTTTTTTTTAATTAAACCAAGCCATGTGAACTGAGTTCTTAAAACCTGGTTTTTCAAGATCTTGCACAAACATTGAGATGTATTTTTTAGTAATCTAAAATACAAGACATTCTTCTTGTAATCTAAAATACAAGTGATTTTTGAAGGCTTGGCTCTTCTGGGAAACTCTATAGTACAGGTAATCAAACATAAGCAAAATTTGGAGATCTCTGTAAATTCCAATTTATTACTTGATAATTTAATTGCTGTATTAAATTATTTCTGTTTGTTAAATATCACTTCGCCATATACGAATGTTCATCACATGTAGTATTTGGTCTCTTTCTTGTGAGTTCAGTGCTTGGCCAGCCAAACTAGAGTTCCAGTATGAAACTATTTTCTCCTTTAAAATAATGAAGTAGGAAGTGTGGAATGTTTCAATGGTTCAAACTAATGAACTGTATTTACAAACAATATAAAAGTAGCTGATATACAAACATTAATGGTCATGAAAAATCTTAAAACTCCCGGCTTTAATTTTCCAATTTTAAAAAGATACGTTTTCATAAACTGCTGATTGCTATCAGAATGGTCGAGAATATCACTTAATTGTTTATAAAATCCTTCTTTCTATAATCCCTTCTCACTTGGCAAATGATAAGTTGCACAATTTCTGTTGTCTAACTTGTGAATAGTTAGAAGGAAGTAATTCTATTATGCGAGATAAATTAAATAAAATTGTAATATTATTATTATTCATAAAATAACATATATATGCAGGTATTTCTAATTAATTTATTTATTATTTTAGCTCAAAGTTGGTTTGAGACGCAACAGGCTGCTGAAGGGAGATCAGAAGAAAAGGAATCTATAGAAGTTCCTAGTGTTCCTGCAGGTGACAGTGCAGAAGATACTGCCTGTGATGTATGCCATGACAAATTTGAACAATTTTATAATGAAGAGACAGAAGAGTGGCACCTAAGATTGGCAGTCAGAGTAGAAGGCAAAACATATCATCCACTTTGTTATGAAGATCTGAAGGTAATTGTAGTAATTAATAAGATCACTTTCATGTTCCACATTGAAATAGTTTATTTGCTTTTTAATATTTTTTAAAATAATTATTATAAACAGATTGTTTCAATGGTATTCGTTGCCTTCATTAAACCAAATACTATAGAAACAATACAGGACATTTCCCCGTTCTTCCATGCAACAGATGGAAACAAGTTCCCACTAGCGCTCCTATTGTCAAAACCTGGTACTTCAGCGCCAAATGAAGACATGAATATTATTAATTAGTTCGCTGGTGATATAGATACCTTTTTGTTATGATAAATAAATAAAGATGTCTGGTATCAGTACTTTTTATTCAGCTTATGATCGTTTCGATCGCATAGCGATCATCCTCAGAGCTTGCAGCTACTGAGCCGAAAAAAAATTTTGTTTTCAGCCCAGAAGCTGCAAGCTCTGAGGATGATTGCTATGTGATCAAAACGATCATGAGCTGAATAAAAAGTGCTGATACCAGACAACATCTTAATTTATTTATTTAACATGAATATGATTCTTATGGAAGAAATACATCTTTTTAAATTAGACCTAACGAAATAAGACTCATTTTTATGTACTTTTTCTGTGACTTAATTATATTGAATGGCTCAATAATGGAAAATAATAATGTACAAAAGTGATGTTTTATATATTCCAAGAATAAAATGGTTACAAATGCAAAATTTTCCTTGCCGTAACACTTCTAGTGTTACATTTAGTATTTTTTTTTCATTTGCTTTATTTCAAAAGCTTCGTATTACTACACTCCTCACATAGAATATTTTCCGATTGAATATTAATGATTTGCATTAATTTTTTTTTGACATCAAGTTTACTATGACGTAAACAATTTTAAAAGTCTCTATCAAAAACATACTTAGTCTTAGAAAACAAACTAATAGCTAATTCATTTGGGTTGAAAAGAGTGGCATTCACGTACTGCTTAGTCAGAAAATGCGAGTTTCTTAATTTATGCTTTTCATCTACATTGGATGAACTATTTTTCCGTGAACGAACGCGAGTTCTTTTGAATTTCATAATTAAAACAGCCAAAAACTTCACAAATTAAGGACCATAATACGCCATAAGGAAGGATGTCAATAACAGTATTGGAAAATAAGTTTTCCAGAAATTGACCAGAAAGACAATCAAATTAAAAGATATCGAGCAGAAAACCAGACACCGACAGAGCACTGAGCTTAGGCTGTATGAGTTTTCAGCAGATTCTGCCACTAGATGGAGCTGGCATCAGTGTTTCTTGATATACCGTGAAGTGTCCTGTATTGTCTTTGTAGTATTTGATCAACCATCTAAGTCATAAAATAATGGGTATTTTTAGTATTTTTCTAGTCCCTATGAATAATATTGTGTGTGTGTGTGTAGCTCTTTTCTTTTTAACTTGTGTAGGTGGAAATTGTCATAAGACACCATGTGAACCATACCGCATGGTAGTTGCGATTCTTACTTGTGTAATACCACCTCTCTTGGTTGCATATAACAGGATTGGTGTGCTGACAAACGACAGTATTGTCACCTGTCTTGCCCCTGTCCTCTAATATTTGTGATGTGTCTTGATGAGGTCATAGCCACTTTTGCTGCATTATCATGAGGATAATTGCTATGTGACAATTCTTTGCAGGTTGCTAACAAGTAGCCTCATGTCAATCATAATTCCTTGAACTTGAGATGCAGACCTAAGTAAAATGTGGTTGCCTTCCACTGATATGGTGATGAATTCTCTATTTTAGTTGTGACAAGAATTGCCACAGCAAGTAGAAATTGTCCTTGTCATCGAGTGTGACAATAGCGCAGTCTTTTTGACATTCTTTCATCTTTTACCTTCAATCATTGTCAGAGCTTTGTCAATTACATGTTGTGTGGTATCTTCTTCATTTGCCTTCCTATACCCATATGGATTTTCTACTAGCCCTTCTGTGCTGCCCATCACTTGTTCAACACGCATTAATCACACCAGCACTTTCTCTGCCCTGTCAATCATGCATATTCAGTTTTAGGACACTGCTTCCTCTACCAGAAATTTTTCTGTAGGAAATAAAACAAATCACTGTGTCTTCCTTTTATTGGGAAAAACATTGCCTCAAAGGTACATTTTGTAATGTCTCTAAAAAGTCTGAGGCAAATCAGAATTGCTTCATTAAGGGGATTGCTTGGGATACATCTGGACCTGGGACCTTGTTTGTTGTTCCCCATTGTTTGAGTTCTTCCTCTGTAACTGTGGGTAATCCCATGATCCTTCTCTCTTAGTCTGGTCTTGAATTCCAGAAGAGGCTGAACTTCTGGAAAGAGTTAGGTATTTATCTTTTGGAGAGGGAATGCAGATATTTATTGACTATTCAGTTTGCCCATTTCATCCCCTTGGACCACGTTCACTTCATTGCACAACTTGGCCTAACTTTGGTGGTTGCTGTCCTTGACAATTCTTTGCTGGTTGCACCTGTCATCTCCATATTGTTGGCATCAGACACCCTCAGATTCACTTGCTGATGCACAATGTTAAAACTTCCTTGCCTTGAGGCATTTTTGCCCTTGCTATGCTATTTCCTTATTCCACCAGCACATTGAAAGGCATTTAGGCTTGCCTGATCATGGGCAGCCAATGTCAGAAACTTTTAAAACACCCTGTCATAACCAATTATTCAACTTACCTGCTCATCTAAGCATCACCTCTAACAATATAGTATTTTGTCAGGCCTCACTATTGGCTGTTAGTTTCTGCTATTGTGATATTAAAAGAGTCTGCATTGAATGCCTTTCTACCCTTTATATCTCTCTGCTTCATGCATCTTCCCTTTGTACTGGTTTCCTTCCACTTGAGTGTGTTGCCTCTGTGTGTCTCTCTGATAATAGTTGCTGTCTTCCTCATGATTTCATCCCGTCAAGGAATCATTCACAAATGTCGATCTCACATTGCCTCTGTGTATACCTAAACCTGTTGGTACTTGTGGGGATGTGTCTCTCCATAATTTTAAGATCGCACTAACATTTCACTTGCGTATGTGTGCATTTTCACATAAGTGAATTAAACTTGCTTCTATACATGTGTGGTGGTGGGCTTGTGTTATATGATTTCTGCTAAAGAGAATTTGGCAATTGCTGACCTTTTTGGAATTATCAATTGTAAAAGAAAGTTTAGACTGGCAATATTAAGTGTCAGAAGCAGATAAATCTTCTTACAATAAAATGCATTTCCCACAAATGGTGCTAAATTTTGTTGCCATGATATAGCTTAGTGCACTATAATTCGGAGAAATTATGAAATGGTAAGAGTTGCATAGTCAATGCTAAGTGCATCACAAATGCTGCTTCCCTGGGGTCATTGCATTATTATGAGGCATGTTTCCTGTGAGTCTTATCTTCTTTGAAGGAAATTATAGTATTTAAAAAAAATCATATCACTAAAAAATTGATTTTTATTCAATGAAAATATTTTGTTTCTGTAGGCCAACTTGGAAAGATCACTTGATGAATCTGTCACAACAGATGAAGTTAAACAAGAAGAAACTGAAAAGGAAGGAGAAAAGACTGCTGAAAAACCCATTGAAAATGATTCTGAAAATAAAAAAAATGATGCAGAAGAGATAGACGATGCTAAAGAACTGGATTCCTCTGTTCCAGCTGACAGCACTGATCAGGAAATGGAAGAACTGAGTAAGATTTTCACTTTAAAGTTTTTGTATTATTTTAATTTAAGCGGAAGGGGTTTTAATGTAAGTGCAATCCAATTAAATATGTTTTAGCAATGAATTTTATTCACATAAAGAGCAGATCAATATAAAATACCATTATGATCGATGCTCACCATTTATGGTTTGCATTTTAAGTGGTTTTAGAGTGATTGAGAATAGAATTTTATTTGTCATAATATCCTTAAACTTTTTATGCTTTATTTGCTTATATTATTGACCTTCCCCCTTTTCTGGCATTCGCTTTGAGTTACCAAAAATGTAAATTTGTATAACTTCCCAAATTTCAGAGTTAACAGACTATTGGGCATCTGTAATCCTTATAAGTGTATTTCACTCCATTGTAAGAAATGTAAAGAAAAAATTTGGAGCCATTTTTAAGACAAGTTTGAAAATGTCTCAGGGACTTCATGCAAAGTACCTCCAAAATTTAAAGAATTCTCTTTAAAATCCCTGAGCTTCAAGTTGAACCAGATTGACTTAGGAACATTTTGAGAAAATCCTACAAATAGTTCAGGCCCTAATGTGTTTCAGTCGGACAGATATTTTGTCACAAGCCAATACTTGGGACTTGCACATTGTGGATTCTGGTTAAACAAGGTGTTAGAACAAGTAATTCACTACATATTGGAACAAGATTTATCCACTTCTCCGTTTACTGTTGAAAAATCTCTGCTTTTTGCTGCAGCACTACATAACTTTCTCTATACAGTTGACTCCACCTAAAGTTAACTTGGATATAGTGAGTCCCTGATCCTGTTTCATTTACATTACAAATAAGCTTAAGAAGATTTGGCTATAGTGAACTGGGGAATTACATCACGGAAATTAATTCTCTCCTGGAAAAGAATATATCACGTCAGAGCTACAAATTCAAACACTAGTCGGACTTCAAAACAATATCATCGGCCAAAGGTCATAATCGAAGTAGATGAAGATAGCAGATCGGGAATGGGTGCCCTACTGATGACCTTACGCCACTAAGTTTCACTGTGGAAACAAAGGCTTTGTTGTGTGTGGGCTACAACTGGCAACATGAGTTTATGTAGACGACAGGAAGTATGCGAATCCCGCAGCCTGGCGGTATCTGCCGCGCTGCGTGGAATAGCGATCAGATTCATTAGTCCCTTTGCTTGTGCAAACCCTGTACCGAAATAATATCCTGTGTTATTAGGCGAGTAAAAAGGCCTTTGGAGAGTGGGGAACAATGTTGCAACATTGCAAGAGGCATTGAAGGGTGGGTGTCAAGGCTGCATTATGTACATAGTCGGAGAACAGTGCAGAATCAAGTATGGAAAGAGCACAAAAACTGGAGAAGCATTTAGAGAAATAACTGATGAAAAAGTACAAAGTACTAAAGAAAACAATTGAAAATAATTGATTTTTGAATGATAAATAAAGGTATTGATATTTTCAGATCATGCTGTTATTGTATTTTGCAGGCCTCTATATTAATAAAATCAATTGTTAAGGGGAAATTCTATGTAATTTTGACGTCATCTGATAGTGAACTACACTTGTTAGTTCTCAGAAGTTCACTATAACTGGACTCGACTGTACTATGTATATAGTATGAGAAAGTAAACTAGTGGTGCTAGAACAGCATGTACTTTTTTGCCTTCAGTAATGGTTATGTTATACCATGATTTCTCTCTGAATTAATACATCTGTCACCATCTTTTGTAAAACTCATTTGGAATTGTAGAAAATTTGGTGGGAAAATTAAATAGTTTCAAACAATAGATTTTTTATTCAAAACTTTAAATGAAAAAATTGAGGAAGCATTGAATTTATTGTATAAAGGCAGCTACACACGTGCAGTATTTGCCAAATCCCATGTAGATTTGTTTGTGATTTGCCAAACGTTGAACATTTGCCCTACCCACCGCATGTTGGTCTTAAGGACACATCAACAGGAGTGAATATTCCCTGAACACATCAGCTATTCGGAATTGGACGAGCAGTAGCTGCTTGATGAATGCCAAATGCGTGGAGTCGCCTTAAGGTTATGCAGTGTATTCACAAAGATATCGGTTGAAGTTTTCAGCAATTATATGCTACTCCTTGTCTGAACATGAAGCGCTAAATGCTCTAAGTTTTCACACCTAGTAAAATTCCCCCAAATTGTCTTTACTAATCGAAGAACAAACCTTTTGTTTCCATCAGCATTGATTTGATTGGAATACCAGAATTTACAAAAACGTTCACAGAATACATTTCTCCCCATAGTACGTCACACTCAGTTTTTTTTGTTTTTGACGTTATTTAAATTTATTTATATTTTTATTTAAGTCTCAAAATGGTTACATAACAATGTTCTACAAAGAAAAGAATTCAAAAGAATTTGACATTTCATTATCGTATATTGTTGCTGTACAACAATGAACTTGTCATATACACATTGCTCAATGTGTTGATATAATCCAAACCCAACCAATCCAAAGGAAGCGCCTGTTGTGGAGATTCGTATTTATTTCTAACATTCAGAATAAAATATACCATTATCAGCAATCAAAATGTCTTAAAGGAAAATAGTAATTTGTTAGTTCTAAGTTAAATATACCTTTTACCTTCCTTCACGCTACTTTCTCTTATAAGCAGAGCAATGGCTTCCAAACACCTCATAACTTACGTTCACAAAGCGCAGTGAATTCGGAGCGAGCGACTATGTTTGTAGCCAAATTACAAATACGTACTCATTTTCAAAAAGTTCAACATGACCTTATTCAAAGCTGTTTTTATGAACTCATTTCATTAAAAAAATGTAGTTGTAGAAAGACCAAAACTTTTTTAAATTGTTCTAATTTTTGAGAAATCATACATTTTAATGAACTCTGCACTGTTCTCTTCAGCATCCTTTCCACTATCTAAGGTCTAAATAAAATTTTAAAGAATGTTGTTTTTAAGGGGGGAAAATGGTTAAAGAAAAATAAAAATTGCCTCTTTGACACAATTTTTCAAAAAATGCTAATGTTCTCTTTAATGTCCTTCACACTATCCAAAAACGAAATATTATCAAAAACCATGGAGCCAGTTTGTGAGAAAAATATTGTTAAAACAATAAAAAATTGCCTACATTTCACGCAAAATGATCAAATATTTGAAAAATTCTGCATGACCTTATTTTAAAATCTGTCTTTAAGGAATAATTTCATTAATGGAAAAACTCTTATCTTTAATATTTTAGTTGTAGGAAAATAACGAGAAAATTTTGAAAATTTCCAATTTTTCAAAAATCAGGAATTTTAACAAACATGAGACCTGCACCATTCTCTTCAAAATCCTTTACGCTATCCACTAACAAAATTTAATCGAAAACGATGGTGCCCTTTTTTGAGGAAACATAAGGGGCTTCATGAAAATTACCCCTTACAATTAAAGCCGAATTCAAATTCAAGGGGCTGCAACATCAGGCAGATCATTTGGGGAATATCAATTTTGGAGAAAATCAGCTGAATGGTTTAGCTGCAAGCGTTGTTCAAACGGACACATGATATGCTGTCGATTGATTTCTCAGTATCAAAGACCTACAAAACATGTATTCTGGCTACACCACTTGTTAGAGGGCTTTTTCCTTAATTTTAGCAAATGGATTGATTTGCTTTTTCATTACCAGATCCCTATAATAAGAGTTTTCTGCTGAAAATTCAGTACTTTCACACAGCACTTTCTCTAACCTGTTAGAAGTGGTAAGAAAGTAAAACAGGTGCTAGTCCTATTTCCAGTGATCAGATTTGAAGATAGGGATTTTTATTGAAACCTAAAACCCAATAAAAAATTTTGAGATATTTTTCTTGCACAGATTATTTGAAGAACATATGTAAAGTTTAAAATGTCTTCCATGCGTCTTACACCCACCCATGCGGCGCATTCAATAGTTAGTGCAATGGTACTTAATTAGGGCTTTGAATGGCATTGCATACTTTAAAAATAATTTTCTGACAGTTTTTAATCTAATAGTCAAATTTTCAAAAAAAAAATCTCAAGATTTTAATAAAAATGACCTTAAATGGTTTCTTTTAATTTTTGGTGTTTAGTAGCACAACACACTTGGGTCATATTTCAAGCGCAATACTCATTAAAACATTTTTAGTTTCCAAAAATTAATTCGAAAAAAAATCTTGTTCTTAAAATGCATTTGCTTACATCTCTTGTTCTTAAAATGCATTTGCTTACATCAATGAGGTATACACAGCCTGGTATGTCATGGTCACTCTGGTTCTTTTTGGCATACGATAGTCGTAGGAAGGGAGGTTTATTCTTGTATTGTTTCACAAATATTTAAGTATATTTATTCCCCTTAAAATTTTTAAAACAAATTATCCTGATAAATGTTAGTCATTAGTAATGACTGCTACTTGTTTTTCATAACAAATTTCAAAAGTTTCATTCAATCCATTTCAAGTCATAATTTTTGTTGTTAAAACTCAAGGTTTTTAAACCATGCCCAAAATTACAAAAACTTGTTTATAATTAGAATGGCTTTAGTTTCATTCTTCTGTTTTGTAGTACATTGAGTTACATTTCTACTCTACTTTTAATTTCAATACTAAACTGTTTAGGTCAGAGGAAAATTTGAGGACAATATTGTTGTTTACCACATTTTGATTCATAAACATAAACTTTTTGCTGGTACTACTTAAATCTCTCACAAATATTTTTTATTGAAATAAATCATTGGGCTTATAAAGACTTTGAGGAGGGGTTTTTACTTTTTATATCCACAACCGCAATTCCGATAATAAATACTGGCATATGTGATCTTAAACCAAATTCTTACTGATCTAGTCATCTAATGAGATATTTACACTGTCAATGACAAGTTTCCGTGATAGACAGTTCTTGAACTTAATACTTGTGCCTACTTAGTCCTTGTATGTCTTTACTTTTATCGGGAGGGGGGAAAAGGATCCTTGGGTAAAGTGCTCAAAGCTTATTGATATCATTTCAAGCCAAGAACATATT